CTGTAAAGAAAATATTGCCATTAGATGGTTTATCATAATCGCGCATATATACAGCGATTGTCCGGAAAGTAATAGGACTCATTTTCTTCCGCCATGTCTGTACTTCGGAGAGGGCGTTCCTAGCTAACGAATGAGCGGCTGGTCAGTTGTCTCCGAGCACTTGGAGAGTCAGGACAGGCATTTTCGCGCGACGTGTTTCTGTGAGTGGTGCAAGCCAAAAATGCAGCGTTCGTTAGAGCAGAGGTACGCGATTAAATTCTGTGTGAAACTCGGTAAATCTGCGACAGAGACGTTTGATATGATCAAGCAGGCTTACCCAGGTATTGCTTTAGGAAGAAGTGGTGTGTTTCGGTGGCACCAGGCCTTTTTGAAGGGCCGGGAAGAGGTCGCTGATGAAGACCTTGCTGGAAGACCTTCGACTTCGACAAACACCGATAATGTGACTCGTGTGCGCAAAGTTTTCTACTCAGACCGTCGACTAAGTATTCGTTTAATTGCCCAGATGTTAAATTTACAAAAATCTGTGGTTCATGAGATTGTGACACAGCATTTGAACATGTGCAAGGTGTGCGCGAAGATGGTCCCAAAAGTACTCACTGACGACCAGAAGTTGCGGCGAGTGAAGTGTGCCAAGACAATTTGAACATGTGTGAAAGTGACCTCCAATTTTTGAATAACGTAACCACAGGTGACGAGTCGTGGATCTTTGAGTATGATCCCGAGACAAAGAGGCAATCTTCCGAGTGGCACACGACGGCGTCTCCTCACCCAAAAAAGGGAAGAATGAGCAAATCCAAAGTGAAAACGATGCTCATTGTCTTTTTTGACATCAAAGGCATCGTCCACCATGAATTTGTTCCTCCTGGACAAACCGTCAACGCCAAGTTTTACGTGGAAGTGCTCAGGAGACTCAAACGAAGGGTCAGTCGGGTCCGACAAGACATCACAGCCGACTGGAAGTTGCACCATGACAACGCCCCGGCTCACACCGTCTTTCTTGTGAACAGCTACCTGACCAACCCAACGCTTCCGCAGCCGCCGCAATACAGCCCAGATGTGGCCCCCGGACTTTTTTTTATTTCCTCGCCTGAAAAGGCCGATGAAAGGCAAGCATTTTCAGACGACAGAGGGGATCCTTCAATGCTTGGAAATCGCGTTGGCAGCGCTGCATCGACGCAGAAGGAGCCTATTTTGAAAGTTTTTGAAGAATTGTAACGATTGGCTCAATTTTTTTTAAATCGACTCAGTCCTATTACTTTCCGGACAAACCCTGTATACTCGTACATACAAGGTGCTCCTTAATGATATGCGAATATTTAAGCGTGGAAATCTACATGAAAAATTAACGTTAGTTTGCTTTATAAACTATGGTTCAAAAATGTTTGCTTACAAAAACTCGGGGTGTTGAAGTTTTAGGAAAAAAATGGAAATTAATTAATATTTTCGGGACCGCTTCAGATATTTCACTGATATTCAGTTCGTAGTGAAAGTTAATAAAGTTGCATATTTTTCAATGCAAAAATAATTTTTAGCTTTAACAGTGACGTGCGTACGGCTATTGACTTCGATATTTTTTAAGAAAAAAATGGTACGCTAATGGTTTTTTGCTAAATAAAAATTATTTTTGAATTCCCCGTTCAGTTTAAAAGAAATGATCTCTCTTGAGTTGCTTGCCTTCGATGCGCCATTTTTGAGTAAAAAAATAAAAACCGTTCTATTGTCCTAGAAAATTAATGTAATAATTGAAGAATACAATTTAGCAATAAATATCTAGTTGCTCTGGAATATGTCACTGGCTTTTGACATCTGACAAGTCTCTGTTAATCAAATCTGTTCGCTGTGACTTCTTCATTATTTAGTTTTTACAATCTTGTTAATAATAGTGAATTATTCAAATGCATAAATGGCGGAAATGCATTGCGTATATGGCCTTGCCGACGGTAATGGTGAGCAAGCCAGACGGATTTATCACCAGAGATATCCCGATTGTGCTTTGCCAGATAGTCGAACCTTTTCTAATATTCATCGTAGTCTTGTTGAAGCTGCTGTCCGAAAAGGAACATCTGAAGGTAAACCTCTAAGTGTGAGAACACCTGAAATTGAGGAGGCAGTGCTGCACGAAGTCGAAGAACATCCTGAAACGAGTACGAGGAAGATCGCTAGATACATAAATATTTTCCATCAAATTGTTTGGAAAATTTTAGTGAATTATTTGTTATATCCTTACCATATTTTGAGAGTACAGGCATTACTTCCCATTGATTTTCCAAGGCGTGTGACCTTTTGTCAGTGGTATCTTCAAAACGTTACACAAAATCCGTAATTTGAATCAATTATTCTGTTAATAGACGAAGCTAATTTTTCTCGAATTGCCATTCAGAACAATTATTTGTGGGCAGAAGAAAATCCCTATACCTTAACCGAAACCCATTTCCAGCACCAATTTTCGGTTAACGTATGGGCAGGAATTATTGGCAGCCACTTTATTGGCCAATTCTTCTTGCCGGGACGATTTGACGGACAGACTTTCCTCAATTTTCTTCAACAACAGTTGCCTTTGCTGCTTGATGATGTTGCGTTAGTAATAAGAAACAATATGTGGTACATGCATGATGGCGCACCAGCGCATTTCAGTGTAGCGGTACGTAATTATTTACAAACTGTTCATCCAAATCGTTGGATTGGCCGTGGTGGGCCCCAAGATTGGCCACCAAGGTCCCCAGACTTCAACAGTTTAGATTTCTTTTTGTGGGGCTATCTTAAGACACTAGTGTACACCAGTACCATTAACACTGTAGAGGAATTAAGAGAAAAAATAGTTGCAGCTTGTGATAAAATAAAAAACACTCCATGGATATTTCAACGAGTGCGCAATTCCATGACAAGGAGGGCGGAAGCAGTGAAGGGGGCAATTATCAACAATTTTTGTAATCATTTCGTTTGTTTCAGTGTTAGGTTTATGTTGTCAGTTGTGTAATGTGTTTAATTTTTCCAATTAAATTAATAATTTTGCAAGTTAGACAATACAACGGTTTTTATTTTTTTACTCAAAAATGGCGCATCGAAGGAAAGCGACTTAACAGAGATCATTTGTTTTAAATTGAACGGGGCATTCAAATTTTTTTTTTATTTGGCAAAAAAAATTGACGTACCATTTTATTCTTAAAAAATATCGAAGTCAATACCCGTACGCACACCACTGTTAAAGGTAAAAATTATTTTTGCATTGAAAAATATACAACTTTAAAAACCTTCACTACGTACTGAATATCAGTGAAATATTTGAAGCGGTTCTGAAAATATTAATTAATTTCCATTTTTTCCTAAAACTTCAACACCCCGAGTTTTTGTAAGTAAACATTTTTGGACCATAGTTTATAAAACTAAATAGCATTAATTTTTCATGTAGATTCACACCCTTAAGTATTCGCCTATCATTAAGGATCACCCTGTATATATTATATACTATAAGGACCCGTCGCGCACCTTAAAAAATTTCTCTGAAGTTAATAGCATTTAAAGAATTATTTATATTTTTCTTTCTGAAAATGGGTATTTTTGGATTTTTTTCATTATGAAGTAAGAGCCAACGAAGCCACCGTTTCAGCCTTATCTAATAACTCGGCCTCCTAGAATAGTCCCTGCTTAACAAAATACATAACACATTTATTATTAGAACAGTAATTATCTTTATAATTTTTTTGTGCAAAGTAAAAAACCAAGAGTCACTTTTATAACCGTTCCTTGAGGACTGGATGCAGAGGAAAGATCTTTCCTTGAATTTTGTACGAACTATAACGCTTCCTTGAAGAGACTTCAAGGAAGGATTGAACATGAGCATTTCACAGTAGGCTGTAACAATTGTCATCGTAGACTATCAGAAAGATTTTTCTTTGTTGGCCGTATGTATTTAGGTAATTCGGTGATACATTTTGCACGGAAATATGAAGAAAGATGCTTCCTTTCTCGGTTGTATATCGAATAACGGTTTTATAGCAGGCTGGGCTACAATATAGGCAACTAGTATTGGAATACTGACTCTGAAAATTTTACCGTATTATAAAGCTTGACACTTTTTGAATACCTTACTTACAAACTGTAGATTATTTGACGAAGAGACGAAAAAATTCCTGTTATATTCGCTAAGAAATAGCCTTATCAAAAACGACTTTATTAAGGTTAAGCACTCCCATTCCCATTATGTATTATTGATATGTTATTCCAAACACTGTTTTTTAAAATCGAGGTGCTATCTGTTTATTTAATTTTGAACTGTTCATTTCAACTTGGCTAGTATCTGTTCTACTGGTATCTTCTCTTCATTGGATTTTTTTTTAATTCACTGTTACTCGTTATGAAAAACCGTTGATACTATGTGGGAGTGGCTTTGTATCACATTGCGCGTATTGTTTTTCGGAGGTAGACAGCGAAAGTTTCCTAGTATCGTTTGATGGTACCCGAGGAAAGTTGTCTGCACTAGTCTTTGTCGCTCGTTGATGGATAGAAAGTTTGTTCATCCGATAGTTAACGAAGGCTCTTTCTAGAAGTTAGTTACGTTGAGTTTGTTCCTAAGGAAACGATGTCACCCTTAGATCAATATTGAAGGTAGAATGGTGGTTAGTTTGGAAATAAATGTTCTACTCCACAAACAAAACAATTACTAGCTTATTATGTAGTGGAATTAGTGTGAAATTCTTATAACTAAAACTTCTTGAAATTATTTTTAACATAACTTATTGCAGCATCTACTAATCATATAGCTAGTGTTCAACTCATATCCCGTTGCTGTTTACCTTGAAGCACATTGTGGGTTTGCAGCTAAGTCCGCGATCTCATATACTATCACATGGCAGATGCAAATTCTAACCTAATAAACATGACTAGCCGCAGTCGCAGAAGTTGAAAAGTATTCCTAGACTGTACGAGGGACCAAAGGTCTTCTATTGGATTTCTTTGTTATCGGGAATTAAGAGTGCAACTTTTTTCACAGTTAACGGCAAAAAATAGAAGGTATAGGGTAATGGAACCAATGAATGAACGTCACCAGTTGATAAACATAATATTAGAAAAAAATAATATTTAGCTAGATGTTACGTTCACTATGCGAGAGAAAGATAGCAATACATACTTTGAAGCATATTTCGTTACTAGACCCTGTTTTCAATATGGCTACCTAATCAGATGACCTGTTGTAACGGTGCATGTACAGCCTTATTCATCGCGTTATTCGAGTTTTCTTATAAGCATACAGGTAAGTCTAATATTGAGTTTAACAAGCTTTATATTTTCATCACATCCTAACTAAAGGGGCTTACCGTTAAAAGTACCATTCTGGAAGCATATTTACTTATAACATAATCTAAAACTATGAAAAAACGAGGGAAACTGCAATAAAATAGCGTTCATTCACTGGTGTTCAACCATATTTCATAATTCCAGCAAATGAACAGCGCGTTCATTCATTGGATATTTCACATAATTTAATTACAGTAATCTTTTGGATTTAGGATCAACTATAAGAGTTGCAGAATGGCTTTTCGTTACTAAAATTATATTATGAGACATACGTCCAGTAAACGAACGAGGATTCAAATGCAGTTCATTCATTAGATTGGATTGGATTTTCTTAAACACCATTGAATGAACATAGACTTTTTGTTACTGGTAGCGACAATGATCATGACTTTTGCTTCAGGAAAAAATGGAGATTACTAAGAAAAAGCCATACCAGCGATTTCGATATACAGAAGAAACTTTGCAGGAAGTCTTACAAATGATAAGAACAAATTTAATCACTATTTCCGAGGCGAGTAGGCGTTACAGCATTCCAAAGAGTACTCTGTCGAATAAACTCACCGGAAAGGTCCCACAAATACGAAAGATGGGGCCTGATACAGTATTATCTAGTGAAGAAGAAAGTAATCTGGAGAAATGGATTTTGTCAAAAGCTTTATTAAGATTTCCAATGCATTCTGATGAGGTGAAAGACTCTGTGCAAAAAGTTTTGAAAGAAACTGAACGCGATAATCCATTCACTGATGATAGACCTGGAAAAAAATGGTTGCAACTATTTCTCCAAAGACATCCAAGTATTACAGCGAAACACAGAAATCATCTCTAAAGCACGTGCATCAGTGACTGAACAAAGTATCAGGAATTGGTTTGCTGAGCTCAAAGACTATTTAATCAAAGAGAATCATGAAGAAATATTGGAAAATCCACATCGTATATTCAATACCGATGAAACCTGTTTTATGACTTGCCCCAAAACTGGAAAGGTCTTAGGACCCAAAAATTATAAAGCCTTTTACGAAATAGCCAGTGGCCCTGAAAAGGAATCTATTACCGTCTTGTGTACATTTTCGGCTGCTGGTATAACAGTACCCCCCATGATTTTGTACACATACAAACGCATTCCAAGAGATATCTCGAAGATGAAGAATATCGTTTGGAGAGTGGGAATAGCGTTGATGTTGCTGCGGACAAATAATGACTGTATACTTACTTTAACGAATACAAAGGAAAACAAATATGAAGTTACCCATGACACGGAAAATAATCATGACACAAAAATAATTATACACAGCGATATTAGGTGAGACGCTGATAGAAGCATTCTCATGAATAATTTCAATGAAGTGGATAACGAAAATGCAGTCGAGACCAATAACGCTGATGCTCGAAAATATGAAAATGAAGAAAATGGAATAACTCAGACTAGAGAAGAAAACGAGATGAATACGTTTGACTCAAACGTGGATAACGTCAACAAAAATGAAAGTAAACGATACAAAAATGAATGTAGCAGCCATCAAAATAAAGAAGATACATCTAATACAGATCAGAGGGAAAAAGAAAAGATCGGAAAGCAGAATGTTGGAGTGAAAAGTCTCAAAGAAATCTGGTCGAAACATCTACATTGGCCCGATGATGTACCTACAACTAGCAAAAGAAGGCCATCTATTCCAATGCCTTATGCTATAACTTCTAAAAAGTGGAAAAAACAGATGGAGCAGAAAGAAAAAGCTAAAATAACACCAAAATCGAATGAGCTCAAATCAAATACTCAGATTAAACCAAAATGTAATGGAGAACCATCCAATACTAACGATGTTACAAATGCCCAAAGTTGTATCTCAAGTTCCAAAAAGTAGGAACTAACTGCAAAGACAACGTTGATTGTACATCAGGTGGTCATGCAGATCTGAGTAAAATGAGCTACAAAACTGATAATTTTATTGTAGGATAGGACGTGATTGTAACACATGGCGGTAAGTTATACCCAGGAATTATTGAAAAAATTGACCATGACGAATATGAAGTTAACACTATGTGCCAAGTTGAGGGCAATAAAGGTCATTTTAGGTGGCCTTATAGGGAAGATAAAATTTGGTACAACAAAGAGTGTGTACTTGAAGCAATTCCACCCTTGGTGTTTATGTTTGACTATCCAGCTATAAGAAAGTATCTTTGAATACTTTGTTCATTTATTGGATACATTTAGTTTATTTATTAGAACGATTTGTTCATTAACTAGTATTTGATTGTTTTTGGAGTTTTATTTTTGTTACTTCTGAGATGATATATTTCATTTGAATTATTTTATGACCATATTTTTAATAAACTTTCGTACTATTTACCGATTTTTTTCTAATAGATCCGTTTGAAATGAAAAAAGTGTATGATAATTTGATTTGAGAAATACCTTAGTCGTTCATTCATTGGTGCCATTACCCTAGTTTTATAAAAAACGATTTCAGATTGTCCTAATTCGAAGTATCCACGTCAGCGACGGCAGGTGCAGGTTTTGATAGTATTGGTTGGTGACATGTCGTTGGATGTAGCAGCATGTAAACAGAAGCAATATGTATCTATTCATCAACCTCCCAGATTTTGACCTTATTCGGTTAACCTCGTATATAGAATTTGGACTTAGGCGCGACAGTGCTCAGGACTAATATTTATTGGCATCAGCAAAGACTGAATTTCTATGAGGAGAAAGAAAAATCGTCATACAAATTGTACGAAAAAATAAAGTAAAACCTTAACATTTCATATTTTTACTTCCACTGTCGAGAAACTATTCTATCGCCAAAAATTACGAAAATGGGATATTATGTTTTTTGGATGTTATATGACATATCACGAAAAAGTAAAGTAAAACCTTAGCATTTCATATTTTTACTTCCACTGTCGAGAAACTGTTCTATCGCCAAAAATTACGAAAATGGGTTATTATGTTTTTTGGATGTTATGACATATCACGAAAAAATAAAGTAAAACCTTAGCATTTCATATTTTTACTTCCACTGTCGAGAAACTATTCTATCGCCAAAAATTTCGAAAATGGGATATTATGTTTTTTGGATGTTATATGACATATCATGAAAAACCTTGCCACTCATATCCATCGATCGGCCTGTCTATTCACTAATCATTGTCCTGTCCATAACTTGGTAAGAGCCGCTAAGTTTTTGAAAACTGGTCCAGTGGTGGCGGAGCTAGAGGCAAAAAGCAAAAAAAAATAGCTCAACCTTTTTTGGGCATTTCAGATGCTCCAAATCATTTTCAGGAAAATTTTTGTAGGGATGAAAAGTGGAGTTTGGGATTGAAGGTGGTAGAGTTTGGGTGTATATATACTAAGTGACATATGAATCCGAACACCCAATTTAAATGGTTTTATTTTAATAAAATTTTGTATAAGTACTTAATGAAGCATAATAAGTAAATGATAAAAATTTCAAAATGATTGCACTGCTTTAAAGCCCTTTGACCTTTAATAATGTGTGGATGCACCCTGATGTGCTACGCATTCTCCAACGCGCCTAGGCATGCTTCTGATCAGGTGGTCAATGTCCTCCTGTGGTATCTCATTCCAGGCAACCACCAACTCCTCTCGAAGTGCTTCTAGAGTCTGAGGAGGACGTTGCAAATTGAGCAATCTCCTACCCATCATATCCCACACGTGCTCAATTGGGGATAAGTCGAGAGATCTTGGTGGCCATGGTAACAATGTGACATCATAATGTTGAAAGAAGTCTATTGTGACTCTTACAACATGTGGTCGGGCATTATCTTGTTGGAAAGTTGGATCTGCCAGGGTGTCAAGATAGGGTAAAAGATGGGGTTCAAGAACTTCGTGGATATAACGCTGCGCGTTCATGTTACCTCTGATGAAGATTGAAGGTGACCTGGAACCATAAGCTATAGCACCCCAAACCATAACTCCAACAGTGTGATGAACATGTCTTTCAACAAAAAACTGTGGATTCCTCCTTTCACCACGTCGCCTTCTAACCCTGGCACGACCATCGTGCATGCCTAAACAAAATCGAGACTCGTCACTAAAGACAATACTGTTCCATTCCTGATCCCAGAGTGACCGTTGTCTGCACCACTCAAGGCGATTACGTCGGTGTTCTCGAGTTAAAGGGAGGACCCAGTGTGGCCGGTATGAAAACAAGACAAAACTTCTCATTCGTCGGTAAACACTTCGCATGCCAATAGGTCTTCCGTGTTCTGCAAACCATTCATTTGCAATGGACCTGGTAGTGGAGAAACGGTCCCTTAAGGCCAATAATCTTAGGCGGCGATCTTCACGGTCTGTTGTTCTACGGCGGCGTCCAGTGCCCCTTGCTCTTTGCGTACGGCCTTCTCGAAGCCATGCCTGACAACACCTAACCACAGTGTCTACACTTCTCTAACTGCAATTGCCCGAAAAGAAAGTCCAGCTTCCCGAAGTCCCACAATACGGCCCCTATCAGACTCACTAAGTTGACGAAATCGTACAGGTCTCCGTACTCTAGGCATCGTAACCGATCGTAAAGGATGTCAACAACCAAAATCCGCCAACGTTGATTCTTTACTGCGGCTGAAATATTCATTTTTAGAGCGTTAGTGAATTAAAAAAAAGCAGTATAAAAACCGGAATGTCCAACAACTGATAAGGCTGAACATTTTTTCACTTGTTATTTACAGTAAGATAAATACATTCACCAACTTTTATTAAAATAAAACCATTTAAACTGGGTGTTCGGATTTATATGTCACTTAGTATACATATTTCGCGTTAGTATATTTATACGCTTCACGCCTCGGTCATTCTACTCAGCTATTAGATATATTTCATAGATCATTTGTCTTTAAAGCTTAGAATGATAGAGATATATTTTCAATATACGCATCTCACGCAACTCAACGAATGCAAATATAGCTGCTTCGACGGATGACCGATATCTGACCGATGATGAATGGATGCAACGCCGTGCTGGCTTTGCGAGTGCCCGAGTTAGTCAGGATCGCAAGGTTGGCATATGTGTGTGGACTATGGACTAATTATACTGGCCTCTTTGACTGACTTTATCCATTTTATTCATTTTTATACATGTTTGTAGCTAACTTTTTCCTACCAGTGCCTAATTTGTGCCGAACGCAATCCTTTATGAACTGATAGCAACGTTACGTGGGAAGCCTGAGATCAATCTGTTTGACGCCATAAATACGTCATACCTTATTTCGCAGCTGTTAACATCCTTATAAGTCGCCCCGATCCCTGGCACTACGGAACAGTTTGCATTTGATAACGAACCCAAATTTATAACAAAAAACACTAAAACTCCACTACCAGAACCCAACAAATTGCAGTGTACATGGCGCGAGTTAATCAGCCCCCTAGGGGTATGAAATGGTATTCACAAAATTGTTTAAAAAATCTGAGCATTCGTGCACATACTTTTTTGGGTTTAATCGAGAAACTTATATATAATTTCACATCCGAACTTTATGCGCAAAGTCGTATTTATTATTGTATAATTGCATCCATTAATCTCTTAAAAAGTACATATTTCATGATAAATAGGATCATCGATTATTATTCTCCTAATGCAAAGTTATAATTTGTATTTTCCAATTCTCTGTTTTGTATAATACCGCATGACTTCACTGCTTTGATGGTAAAACGCCTCTTTGTTATGTCCCGTTGATAAACCTCTCTAATGTATTCCAGGTATTTTAATAACGTCTGAATTTGCTTATCTCTCTTCACAGCATTAATCATTTTATAACACGAATTATTTTTCCCCTTAATTAAATTTATCGATCTACGTTTTTAGTGCCAGACATTATTTTCATTAGTAATACAACTAAGACTGGGATTGCGAGTGAACTGACCTTGGGGGTGGAGTACAATTAGACAGAAAGGTGTAGACGCTTTTTACGTCTCTATATATTAAAAAAAATTAATTGAAAATTTTAATTTCGGCCTCAACCGGTATACTTTAATAGAGTCGGGAAAAGGAATTAAGTTTGGATGAGAATAGGATAACCCTCAGAGGTACTTGCAAAATATAACGTCCGATGTCTATAGCGACTTTCCGTGTTAGGTATTTTAACCTTAATCGTATTTTGTAGTTTAATCTGGAAAAATTTTGGAAGTATTGAAAAATGGCACCTATAGATTTTGGTGTGCTCCGTTTTTGTTTTTATTCACTACAAAAACGTCATCC